GAGGTCGGGTGTTCGATCCCTGCATTGACCGAAAAAATTCATCCCGATTTTCCGGCGTGGTTCCCCCTAGTCAGTGATGTAGGGCGGAGGGCCTGACAAGGACATCTGTCTAGTCGTTCGGATGGGACGAATAACCGAGGTCCCGTGTACACATTGGCGTGCACGTAAAAGATCCCTTGACAGTTGGAATTCGATATAAGAGTAGGTCGTAGTACTGCTGTCCGGGCAAAAGTTCCCTCATAGCACACTGTATGGCGTATGCCCGTCTTCATTAGCCCAGTTCGGAGCAGAACTGTAGGACATTAAACCGCATTTCATTTCATTTTCATTTCTTTTTGGAAGAATCATCCAGAGACTCTTACATCCGAAGAATACTCTATGCATGTAATAATACAACTCGTTCTTGATTCATTCGTGACCTTCACCTTGAAGGTTTAAGGAGTTAAGCTGGCGCCCCTTGACATAAATATTATATAACGGTCGTTAAAAATAAAACTAGAGCACATAAACTTAAGATATATTACGCATAGATTTAAAAACTAGGCCGCATATAATAAAAGGCACAATATTAAAGTTAATCAGCTATAAAGGCTGTGGAGATACAGTTAAACCCAATCCATGGCCTAAGGCCGAAAATGGAAAGATTGCAAAATCATGTTCTAAAAACAGGAAGCAGCTTCGGCTCTCCTATTTCTTGTCTGCGATATCACTTATGTGGAAGCAGACGTTAAACACCAGGATACTACTACTACTAGTTAAACCCATATAATAGAACTGCAGCAGGTCTTGGAAGAAACATCAAACAGGTACGGTTTGCCTTGCAGAATTCTGCCCTTTGAATGGGCTAAATCTATTTGTTAAGGCCAGATCAATTTTTGTCAAGGTCGTTGAGGTGTATATAAGGTGAGGGCGCGTGATTGTAGGTTAGGGTTAGGATAAGCATTGGGGCTAGGACCAGGGTTAGGGTTGGTATTAGCGCTAGCCCTGTTTACATCTCATGACATATGACGAAAAATTGAGCTGGCCTTATCATTTAGCACTAACCCGTCAGAATGCGAAGACGATCCACTGGCTTCCGGTCACCCACAATTACTTGCAACTGGTTGTACTCAGTCGCAGAGACTACGCTACCCTTAAAATCGAATTTCTATTAGTCTTACTAATTCAATTTCTTAAGTACCAAAATGTTCCACGTCCTCTCTGAAGAAAATCAACACCGGATGTTGACACGGGTTATCTATTTTTGAGAATGTACTTAAAATTGATGAGTGTGATGTGATTGATGGATTGAACCTACGGCGTTCACGTCAGTGCACCTGACCCACTTGCAGTGTAATTTGTTATTTTTATTAAAACGAGATATGTGTAGTCGTGATTAACACAGTTGGATATTCGCCCATTTTTCTTTTACTTAGACGAGACTATTTGTAAGATAACTGTGAAAATTGATTAAACATACACCTCTTTCTGATGACTTTGAACTTTTATTATCTGTGCGACCTCGGAACATATTCTAGCTGGATATCGTCGTGTGGTATATTGTGTACACACATAAGAAAAGGTGATATTTTATTTTAATATACTCGCAAAATATAAAATACCCAGATTTAAAAGTGCCCATTAAAGTACATCATGTACCCGGAATGTAATGAAATGCCCATTTATTTATAAAACACATTTCCTGTAGTGTGTGTGTGTGGGGGGGGGGGGGCTTTACGTGGCTTAGAAGTCGCTGACTCGCTAATCAGAATTACTCAGGTTCGCTCCCGGTGCATGGCCGAGAAAGTTCCTCGGGGTTTCAGGAGTGGTTTCCCCTTGTCAATGGTGTAGAACGGACGGCCTGACAAAGAACAGTGTGTATTAACTAGTTGTTCGGATGGGACAAAAAACCGAGGTACCATGTACACGATGGCGTGTACGGAAACGAACTCTTGCAAGTTGGAATTCCCTCATTCGCCTCGTTAGGGCAGACAGAAAAGTATAACGTTAAACTCTTTATTTCATTGACTTCCCTTCGGGTACAAATATCTGAAGTGAAGCATAACTCCCCATTCAACAATGAGACTACGTGTGTGGTTCTATCCAAGCTCAAATTATATACAAGCTGAAATTATAAAGCTTTAAGGCTGAAATAAACTTCCCGTAGTTATCTTCAGCCACGAAGTTATTTTTCAAAATGTCAAAATTTTGACATCTAGATATTTTCTCAATTACGGCAACTCCCGGTGGTTTTACGAATCAGTCTGTTATTACCCCCCCCCCCCCTTCCTTTCGAAATTACCGAGAATAGTATCCAATCTTCGTTCAAATTACATGGTTATCAGATCAGAGCCGGATTTACCCACTTATGGGACTTAGAACAATCTGTTTAGTGCCCCCCCCCCCACGTAATTTTAGGGTTTTGAACATGCATTATAATGAAATACCGTTATACGCTGGTGATACGTCGCAGCGACATATTTCCACACATCCCCACCACCATCACAAATGTCTAACTGGGAACGTACATGCAGACATTTTCCCACCTTGTATTAAAAGTAGATTCCCACGATTTTTTTTTACCGGGAAGTTAATTCTAAAATACTGGATTCCCTGCAAAACACCCACAATACAAAATAGGAAGGTATCCTCAGGAATTTACGTATGTTTCGATATTTATAGTAAATGAACAGCTACTAACGACAAATACCGGCTGAAAATGGATTCACCCTCAACGAGTCACGTGATAAACAAGGTTGATACACAAACAGATTCTTGCGACATGTGGTAGTTTTCTGCTGATTGAAATGCTTTAGAGCAAAGTTTTTCATATATTAATTAATTTGAATATGTTTTAGTCCAGATATATCATCAAATCACACAGTCTGTACGCAAGAAGGGATCTTTGATATAGGCCTATGTTTGAGTTGAATAAAGCGATACGCTATAGACCACATGATGTTTTAATCTTGATGCTATTTTTTTTTTAGAAATGGGGTGTAACGTCCACTCGACACAAACTAGGTCATTTCGGGACTTACACATGGTTCAATTTTATTTCAATAATTCGCTTGTGCGTAGGGGTCTTTAACAGTTGGAGGAAACCGGAGGACCCGGAGAAAACCCACGAGGTTGGACAGGCGACCCAACTCCTTGTCACGTACAACCGAGGATTTGAAACCGCGCCAGATAACTCAATGACAGACCTTATGATAGAGCGCGCACGTGCTAACCATTAGGCCATCCAACCCCCAAATCTTGAGGCTAACGACAATGGTTTTGTGCCGGTCTCCCAATGACCGTCAACCCTCGAGTTTTTCAGATCCCCTGTCTTCCTTATCCCAGCAGAACAGTAGGACGTCAAACCCCATTTCATTTCATTTCTTTCAGATCCTCTTGACCTAGTTTACGGTGATAAGTGTGTGTGGTTTTACCGGAAGCACTTCGCACAAGCCATCAAGTGCAATACACCCGACATTCTTAATTGTATGTACAGCGTGATAAACACATCAACGCCTACGATTCCTCATTTTCCGCGCAATGCTTTTTTTCTACATTTCGTAGAAAACGGACTTGCTGGGACCGGACAAACTGACAGTTTAATAGCCAACGGTAACATCCTGATGTTTGTGACAAGTACGTTTGTCTACGCATCGTGTTGTCTTCCTGAGTCGAGACGGTACAGAACAGTACAGAGATAGAGGGTGGGGTGTGTGTATGTGGGGGGGGGGGGCTCCACTCGACACATACACATACACACTAGGAGTCTCTAGCAGGGTGGCTGAAATCACATGAGGGTTAGTGCTAAATGATCAGGCCGGCTCAGTGTGCCATGGTCTACTTTTATATCGAATTCCAACTGCCAAGGGTTTTCTCCGGGTCCTCCGGTGTCCTGCCACTTCTAAAGACTCCTATACAGAAATGATTTAATAAAATAAAATTAAACCATGTTAGTCCTGAAATGACCTAGTTTGTGTCGAGTGGACGTTACCCCCCCCCCCCTTTCTATCTCTCTATCTGTACTTATCTTTACCTCATCTTTGTATTGCGAAAATTTTACACTAGGCCTAATACAATGGGATAACATCTTTGCTAATGGGTTTTAATGTAACCCTATTGTGTGTATTATAAAGTAGGGCCTAATTAAAACAGTACGCCTAATCCTGAACATTAATCAATAACCAAATGAAGTATAAAAGCAATCTAACTAAAATTCTGTTTGAGGCTAAAACTGCAACGACCATACACGGCGATAATATATGTTTCGTGTGCACTTTTGTTAACGTTGAAACTTGAACTATTATATAGGCAATCATTTCCAGACAGCAATCGCTCGTTATTAATAAAGAACGGTAACTAAAATAGTATAATTATTAGATAGCTTTTCTTTATAACCCGCTTCATTATCAGCTACTGTATTGAGCAGCCAATTAAATAACTTCATTCAGATAGCGAAACCGACTAACTCAGGTGAACACCCCTCGTGAGTAAATAGACTCGTCTGCCTGGTAGTTATTCACAAACCGTGTTGGTCTTATTCATGGCGGATGTATTTTATTATGGGGAGGCTGTTTTGTTTAATGAAAGAATTTGAAACATATACGCTATGTAAACCGACTCGTACGTGAGGATATGATATTAAAGGCGTCTAATTTTCTATCTACATAAGGTAAGTGAATATTTTAAGACACCGTACCTTCTGTTCGGACATACGACATCTTGGTCTGCTCTCTAGGAAATCGAGTGTGTTTGAGTGTGTCAGAATGGTTAACGCCAATAACGGTAGACTGCAGTGAGCCTTGTTCATGAATGTAAAACACACAAATCGGCTGAGCGATAATGGACATGGCCGCCACGGAAACCTGATATCATTTGATGCAACCCGTTTGCATATATTTAGACTTTTATTTTCTTGTGAACAATATTTTATATTATTTCTTGCAATTGCTTGGTAATTGTTCTATGACTATAACCTAGGCACGTGTCTCCATTTTAAAATAGTTCAATGGCGTTTTTATAAATTATGCATAGCCTAGTTGTTGGTGAGTTCCGAGGGGTTGTCGTACTTTTAATAATGGCGAATGTTCGACCTTAACCTTGAATATTCCTCGAGGGTGTTTGTACTGATGGGTCGACGTCTCACGGATTTTAGGTTTAGCAGTGTATCTTTAAATCGGGACGCTATTAATATTATTGAGTATATGCTATAGCCTATATCCGGAATTGATGGTAACCCTTGGGCGTCTTCATTTCGCCCCATTGACTTATCTTTTTATATAATATTTCCGCCATTAGGCTGCATGTGGGTCAGCCATTACCACCAATCTATGGCCATTACGCAAAGAAGCAAAGCATTATCGTAATGCTTGACACGGTCATGGCTTCACGCGGGTATTATTAACGTCCTTCACCTTGCGTCTAAAATCTAAATATAACTACATTAATAAATTATTCGTGATAGTGATAGAGACTGATAGTCGACAGTGAATATTTTAACGGATACGGTACCTGTACATGTATAGACTATTTAATACATATTTCAACATTTAGATTCTCAATAAAGAAATTGATTTGTTGTTGATGAGGGATTCATATTTTTATTTTTTTTTTATTTTTATACACATTCAGTTTAATGAAAATAAAGGAATTTAGGAAACCAGTTGTGTTCATGTAGATAGTTGAGGCTACTTATATTGTGTAATTTCTGTAAAACATTTAGTTCAAACATGACGTATGCACAGTTGTGAAATTTTGAGTTTTATTCTAAGCTTAACATATCATTTGCACTGAAAAGTACCGTAGGTGTGGGATTGATGGGGCAGTTGTTTCTAATGACAACCAGTAAGAAATAGTGAATGAATTCTCATTGCGCAATGATTTCTATGTCTAAATCTCTATTAAGATGACCGGTCCTTGAGTATAATACCAAATAAGGAATCATCTGATGATGTCGTTATTTTTTTACTCTGTTCAATAGAGATAAGAGAAATGAAATGGAATGGGGTTAAAGGTCATACATGTACTGATCTGCACTGACAGGTATACGCCATACAGTGGGCTATAAGGGGAATTTTGCTCAGACTGACATTAATATTAATAATACATTTTTTCGTCAGGATCTCCAATGCTGTCGTATCAGCTTATTTTCGCTACTGCATTTTCTGAAACTGGACGTACATGTAGTAGAAAAAATCCTAATTTCGATTGACTGATGATATTTATTCACGAACATTACTGACTTGAACTTCAAGTCTTATATATTAGCCTATTCAGAATACAACATTTTCCATAACAAATTACCAAGAATTGTTTTTGTTGAAGTCTGGTTATATTAAAGAAAATGGCAGCTTATAATTACCCTATTTCCCACCGGAAGCTCATTTACCCAATTCTGGCCGGTTGGTTTCAAAATGGATTAAAGTGTTCTTATCAGAAATGCTAAAAAAAAAGATTCAGCAGAGCTTTTTCTCAGGAGAGCGATTTACCCTTTTTCCAATTTCAGGAGAGATTTTTTTGACTTCAGGAATTTATTCAGGTGTGGCCAGAGAACTACGCCAGAAAAAAGTTCTAAAGCACAAGTTAAAAAACCGTAGATGGTTGGAATTCGATGAAAAATAATAAGAATTGCTGCAACATGTATCTGAGCAGAATTCTCCTCCTTCCTATCATTTCACACATTATAACCATTGGGATGGATAGAACTGGACTAAACTTGATCCATAACTTTTGATTACAGAATACAATGGAAGGGAATAGTTAACAACGTAATAACTTTTGAATACATTGGGATAGATATAACTGGATTAAACTTTTGAATGCATCTGGATGGAGAGAACTGGATTAAACTTGACCTACATGTACTATAAATAACTTTTGGCCTAATTTAACTGCAATAACCAAGCACCAAAATAATAGGTCCTATGTTTTACTATATTTGTGTTGATTTCTGATGCATTTATTATTTTACTAGCAGGATACCCGGCTTCGCTCGGGGGTCATATAACTCCGAAACCGGAAGTGGTAGACTAATGCCACCTGGCCTATGTTACTTCCCGATCCGAGCTACCCATATACCCCAAATTTCAGACTCGGGGCAGACCTAGTGTAGCCGCCAACCCCGAACAGACAGACAGATACCCGGCTTCGCTTGGGGGTCATAACTCCGAAACCGGAAGTGGTAGACTAACGCCAACTGGCCTATGTTACTCCCCGGTCCGAGTTACCCCTATACCCCAAATTTCAGACTCGGGGCAGACCTAGAGTAGCCACCAACCCCGAACAGACAGACAAGACAGATACCCGGCTTCACTCGGGGGTCATAACTCCGAAACCAGAAGTGGTAGACTAACGCCACCTGGCCTATGTTATTCCCCGGTCCGACCTACCCCTAAACCCCAAATTTCAGACTCGGGGCAGACCTAGTGTAGCCGCCAACCCCGAACAGACAGACAGACAAACGACAGTCACAAATATATATATAGATAAATGATCATCGATCGATTCAATGGTTTTCTTCATATGGGCATTTTAGGTTGACATGAAATAACTAAGATTAAGATGGCATAAGATTGACAAGAATGAAATAACTTAAATGACATACATGTACAATGTACATTTAGCCATAAACCGGGCAATCTTTTTTAAGATTGACATGAATGAAATACATGTACTAAGATGGCATACATGTACAATGTACATTTAGCCATAAACCGGGCAATCTGTTTTAAGATTGACATGAATGAAATAACTAAAATGACATACATGTAGCAATAAACTGTGCAATGATAGACCTTATGATCCAAAACACAGGCGTTAACCATTATATAAAACCTCATGTGACATTAAATATGGTTTATTTTTATAGTTTGAGAGATTTATGAATGAAATTTTTGATTTTCTGTAAAATAAAATATATTTTGATTGACATCACCTGTGATGTGAGCTTACTTTTAATAGCAAATGATAAAGTTTACATGGAATATGAGTATATATTTTGACATTTATTTGTCTTCATAATGGTTTATGTATACATGTATGTTTTATTAAATTTATGTATGTTTACTGCACGTAGCATTTACATAAATTTACATGTACATAAATATGGACAGAGCCAGAAGCGGAGCATTACACTTTATGTACATTCCTTTTTTATTGTGTCTCGTTTGTATGTTTGCCTATTAAATGCGTCTTGATGATACCTTTATTATCGTAAAAAAATGTTAAACGAAAGATAATTGGTTCTATAAATGTCTGAAAATGGTTGATAAATATATCACATGCCATATTATCGTGCAATTAACACAACAAATGGAGATGTTCTTTTCCAATAACTTTTTTTAAAGCAGTTTAGATACATGTATTTGACATAAGAGAATATGTTTGACGCCATTGTACGACCTACTAGACTGGAAATATGATATTTAGTTTTCACTGACAATATATCATGCAGTCCAAATGAACTCATCTGGTAGCTGACATTTTGACTTTTGTGCAGGACATGAAGCATCAATAAATTATAAATAATATCATTTAAAACACTGATAAATGAAAAATCTATGAGACAGACAAAATGACGGACACCTGATGTAATGATGTATTGTGTCTGACAAGGCCTGAATTTATGGCTGTAACTGTCTGCATGAAAGGGAGAAAAAACAAAACAGTATTGACATCACAATGAATTTAATATGTCTGCAGAAATGTCAATATGTAACAAAGAAAAATTCTATTAAAATTATAGAATATTAATATTAAAAACCAATATCTTACAGATCACTGAATCATGGCTAGATTAATTACAAATGTTTTCAGTTTTATAAATATATTTCCCTGCGACAACATTCTTTTTATTCCATTGTCAGGAAAAATGGAAAGAAGTTTAGCATATCATTTTTTGTAAATCTGTCATTTTAGGACTAACATGCAGTTATTAAGTTATTACAGTGTGTACGTGTAGTTTTATGGTCATGCCATCCTCGGTTATTTATCTCACCAATTGAAATTATCTGCCCTTGATCTACAAACCAATCAAAAAATAGTTTACATACCAGTCTTGGCGCCATTGTTTACATGTACGTTCACCACAATTATCTTGGTTGCAATAACTTGAATGGTGGATAAAAATAACACAAGTACATGTATCAAGGGTGGATAATTTGCCTATTTGCACTGTAACCTGGGTATCATTTAATCTTGTGTATCTACATTTGTAGCACTAATTTCTTTCACATTCGTCAAATCTTTGTTTAAAATTCTTGTAAAATCACCCAAAATCTTCTAATTATCAAAGTTAATCAATCAGCTTTAAACTGGACACAAGAACAAATTAGATGATTTTCAGTGATTTTAAATGATTTTTACGAATATTGAATGAATGTGAAAGAAATTAGTGTTAAATACACACACAATTGAATGATACTCAGGTTCCCCCCCCCCCCCTCACACCCTTTACCCCAGTAATTTTTGTCGCCAGGTAATTCGTAAACACAGGTAATTTTAATTTGGCCTTAATGGGAAATCCTGATATTCTACCTGGGACTGGAACCAACTAAAATTAAATATTATTAAATTATCTGAGGATTCCTCTGTAAACTGGGGGCTCTGTGTGTAAGACGGTTCGCTAACTAAATGGTCCCTTGTTCGATCCAGTGTTGGTTAAAACAGTTCTTCTTGATTTTCCAGCGTTGTCACTCATTGGTCAGTGTTGTAGAAAGGAGGGACTGGCAATCCCGGATGTATAGTCTGTTGGATGGGACAAAAAAAACACCCAAGATCCCTTGTACACATTGGCGTGAGCGGTGAACGTAAAAGAACAGTTTAAATTTGATAAGAGTTGGTCGTAGTGCCGCAGTCCGGGCAAAATTTTCTGCATAGCACATTGAATTACGTAAGCTTGTTTTCATAAGCCCATTCAGTGCAGAAAAGTAGCGTGTTAAACCCCATTTCTTTTCATTTCCTGTGTAAATTATTAAGGTACATTTATTTGAGGGCATTGACACCTTTAATACTAAATAAGGAGAAATAAATTATCAGACAATTATGAAATCAATGATATTGTACGAGAGAGCATTGTGTAGATGAATTATTGATAAATTGTAGTTTTTATCTTTGCACGATGAAATTGTGTCAAGTAACAAGGAATATTTGATCAACGAGAAGTACTGTATCAATCAATAATGTCGTGGGTTATAGATTATTATCTTTCAAAATATTGGTTAACCCTCTAGCAC